AAAAATACTAAAAAAAGGGCTCAGAATTTTAGATTTTAGCTAGATTTTCTCAAAAAAGAAGGGAACTTGAAAAAAAAAGGAAAAAAGTCGGACCGAAAGCGGGACGCGAACCAGGGCACCTCGATTTCGCGACCGCCGGATATCCTACATGAGTTATAACGATCATTAATACATTGGCAAAATTTACCTTCTTATATTGTAGCAGTTTTTCATTGCGTAAAAACACGGACAAATATATATAAATTACGTATCACGTTGTTTGTCTGCGATGGACTCCTAAACTACTTAACCGATTGTAATCAAATTTGCACACCGTGTGTAATTTGGTCAAACTTAAGAGATAGGATAACTTTTTTTGCTCATGAGTTACCCACAATTTTTTTGTGAATTTACGGATATTTTATAGAGCATGATAAAGGGTCGACGAAAAAGGCAGAACACGTCTGTCTGGTAAGCTAGTATATATATACAAGAATTGGATACACAACTTCATTTAAATCGTCAAAGCCGTTTCCTGAGAAACCAATTACATAGTATTGTACTACATACAAGAATTTCTCACCTAAATAAAAGGAGATATGAGGCTCATCATTACATTGTTAATGGCAGTTAAAGCAAAAAAATTATGTTTTAAGATTAGGACTCACAAGACTTAATTCGATTTTCTAATAAGTGTCTTTAATCTGTATCTTTGAAATTTCTTACATTTTTATAAATAGCTATATATTGCGAAGTGGAAATGAAGCTAAAACAAGGCAGTTTATGTTGATAAATTAATGTTAGCAAAGCACCTCACAGTTGAACGAACATTTTGATGAACAATTTGCTCAATGCCTCGTGACGCGAAGTCAATGAATAAAATGTACAGTTGAGTTGCAGAAGGCAATCAACGATGTTATGCTGAGTCAAATGAAACTTGTACTCTCTTTTAAATTAGGAAAAGAGATATTTGTTTTGAAAACTAAAGTTACAAACTTAACCGTCCACCTTTTGGAAATTTGACACTCTCGGAGTACTAAGATAAAATACCTCACAGCTTGAAAAATTATATTACACTTGTTCTCAATAACCTAAACAGTGGAACACATCAATGAAGGCATCGCTGCTTCGTGGCAAAAATAACTAAGAGGGTGGTACCTCCTAGGTAGAAAAGGAGAGAAAATCCTACCATCTATAAATAATAGACGTACATAATGCTCGGTAGCTTAATATTATGTTTTCAACCTTTCTTAGTAGATTCAAGGTCCAAAAACTAGCTATAATCATATTATGTTTAGGCAACATTTTAATTTGTTGATTATGTCGTTGTTGTTTATTTTACACAAACAACAAAATTAATTTTAAATCATTAAAAAAATGTAAAGCCTTTGTTTTTAGCTCGCCTAAAGGAACAGCCCATGGTGTCGGAGTCAATTGTCCCACATTCACTTGAAATTTTGTTTAACCATAAACGCTCAGGTCAACTCATAAAAGTCATTTCATCAGAAAACTTCTTTAGAGTATTTACCAAAATAGATTTGAAAACGGTACTTTAATACAAAGGAAAACCTTCAAACAATGCAGCTAATTAAAATGAATGTGGATAAAGTTTTAACAACAATATTTCTCATCTACATTTGTGGTATTCGAAGTGGAAAGTTCAGGTAAACTATAATAAAATTAAAAAAGTTATTTACACTGCAAAAAGAAAATAAATCTACACTTACTCTATACTTAAAATCTTAGCTGTGTTTAATGTTAGTAATAATATTAATAGATATGTATGTATGAAATTAAAATTATTTAAATACTGTTTATTTCATAATTGTCAGAATCATATTATAGGTTTATACACTGCGTATAAATAATACTATATCGGTTGTGTTATCATTAAATAAGTAGGATTTCCAGCATGTGAATACTCTTGTCTATGTAAATTTAAAGTTTTTTAGAGAGCAGAAAATTTAATGCCGCATTAAAGAATTGTTCCGCGGAGTAGTCGATATCTTCTAACTGCACACATTCTCACAGTTCAACATAATACAGTTAAAGAGTACATTATTTTACTTATTAAATTTAAATGAAATAAAATAAAAGTGATCGTATGCTTTTGTAATATATTGTAAGAATAAGAAAAGAAATCATAGGTTTTTACACACACCGCCGTAGTTTTAATATGCATATAAATGTTTTTACGAGATAGTCAACATGATGGTAAGTGAATAGTTTGGCCCATAGATATATTTTTATTTAGTACATTTTCGTGCGGCGGCAATGCCTAAAACCTAAATTTTGCAAGATGCAAATTTAATTTGCAATTCAGAGACCAAGTTGTTTATTAGTAAATGATACAACATTGTTTCTTAGCGGTAAAAATATTTTATATACATGTATATTTTCAACTTATCGAACACAAGCATTATCAGAAAAATGACAGGTTGAACTATAATCTAACAATGGAACTAAGTTGTGAAAATCGTATAGTCTAACACGCTTTACTACTCTCACACAATAGAATATACACAAATATTGCACAGTAATAAAATGCGGGGAAAAATACCAAAATACTTAACATTATATTTTATTGCATATTGTATTCTATTATATTCCCTAAGCTCACTAATAATTGAAGAAATTGATAATAAAAATAAATTTTTAAAAGTGTTTCTTGATATCAAAAAAGCCTTTGACACCGTCTCTGTCCCTATCCTAGTAAATAAATTAGAAAAGGTTGGTATAAGGGGAGCACCATTAACTCTTTTTAAAAGCTACCTCTCTAATAGGAAGCAGAGAGTCAAGTTGGAATAGTACTTAAGTGAAGATGCAGAAATAACATACGGAGTTTCACAGGGAAGTGTTTTGGGCCCTACATTATTTATTGCACATATCAACGACCTTTGTAGCCAAATAAATAACGCAAAAAAATTTCTCCTATGCCGATGATACTGCTGTCATCTTCTCTGGAAATTCCTGGCAAGCTGTGAAAAATAGTGCCGAAAAAGGAATGAGTCAACTAGCTACTTGGTTAAAATGCAACTTGCTCTCGCTGAACACAAATAGAAATAACTATATATGTTTCAGTATCTACAATAAAAATTAACCTGATGACAGGTTTAGTATAAGGCTTCATGATTGTGGTAACACCCAGGATACAAGCAACTGGCTGATCATTAATAAAGTTACCCATACTAAGTACCTGGGCGTCATGTTGGATCAGAGACTTTCCTGGTACCCACAGCTTTAGCAAGTTACCGGAAGAGTCAGAAAGTTGATTTGGGTCTTTCGATCATTAAGGCATGTGGTTCCAGGTGATGATGGCCCGGTCCCAGTAGAGCCTGGCGCGGTCATTTTCGAACACGGCTTCCGGCAAGTACTTGTAATACGGCAGTTTCCGGTCCACAGGGCCGTATTTCAGAGCGAGCTCCTGGTGTAGAATTGTGGCTAATAGGTTGTGCCTGTGCAAGTACTCAGAGTTAGAAAGCGCCGAACAACTGGAGATGACATGCCTAAGTGATTCACCGGGATGGCGACAAGTTCGACAGTTGTCGATAGTGCCGTCCTTTAGGATGTATCTCCGATAGTTGTTGGTCTTAATAACCTGATCCTGTGTCGCACAGACAAAACCCTCGGTTTTCTCGAAGAGGTCACCAAAACTGAGGCAGTGAAAGGAGGTAACTGTGTTTACGAAAGGTTCATGTAAAGCCTTGAAGAACCTCCTGTGGAGCTCCTTCTCCTTCCATACAGTCTTGCGGTCGGAAATGTTCTGTACTGCCGGTTTTTGCCATTGCTTGTTGGCCAAGGATAGAGGGGTAAGCCCTTTATCAAAACAAATGACGTCCCTATTGAATGGATGGAATGGATCATCCGATCTCGTCTGAAAGTAATTACGAAGGCTGCTAACTTCGTGATTATGCATGGTAAGCGCGCTTAATAAGCCACGCGCACCATATTCCCGCGATAAGTACAGCCTCATAATCGAAGTGTTGCATCCTATGGGACATCATGGTAGTGCGGACTTTTCTATCCAGGGCGTTAAGTTCCGTCTGAGTCCACCTTAGTATGCCAAAGTATACATGAGTACAGACATGACCCAACCGTTATATGCTTGTATCTTAATCACACCGGATATTAAAGGCTGTTAAGCACTTTGGTCAAGCGTGCATAAAACACGTCGCAAACGGACTGTTTCATATCAGCCTCATCGATACCGATGTTCTGTGACATACCCAGGTATCGGTATGTTTCAGCCTCAGAAAGGGTCCTCAAGTTGACGGGCATAGATGAGTCTATGCCCTCAGAGTTAGCACTCCTTCCCCTTTCAACATGGAGGACCGCACACTTATCCGTTACCAGTTCCATTCCAATAGACTTGCTAAATTCACAAGTTATATTTAGCAATTCCATAAGATGGGAGCGAATGGAGGCGAATAACTTTAGGTCATCCATATAGAAAAGGCGGGTCACTTTTGTACCTCCTATACAAATCTAAAATCCCCTCTCGGAGCCCTCCAGTAATGTACTGAGAGGGTTCAAAGAGAGGCAGAACCAGATTGGACTCAGACAATCACCCTGGAAGATACCCCTTCTTATCCCTATGCGACTTTCCGCAGCCGTCATCCGCTCACCCAGATTACAAAGGATCATACTTAACTGCCCCATACATTGCTCGAGGAAGTCTCTAACTGTACAGTCAATCTTGTATAGCTCGAGGACTCTCTTTAGCCATATATGGAGAACCGAGTCGAATGCCTTTCTGTAGTCTATCCAGGCGGCGGAGAAGTTCCGACGGTTGCGTTTCACCACTTTACCAATGACCGCGTCAATGAGGAGTGGTTCCTTGGTTCCACAACCACCGCCCAGACATCCATTTTGAGCACGCGACATCACCTGGTTTAAGTTCAGGTGACTATGTTTATGTATATTTATTTATGTTATTTATTATTTTTAATTCATTTTATTGCTTGCAACTTGCGCTAGATGTTCAGGAATTATGATAGTGTTCATCAAATTGACCGCGACTGTCAATTTTTTTGAATCATTTTGGCGCCCAATGGTAGGTCGTAATAAGGGGTTAGACCCAAGAACTCAATTAAGGCTTTTTCAAATTCTTCTCTAAGGATTCGTAAGGTTTCATTCTCTACCATATGTTCCCTTCGTTCTTCGTAAGGTGCGGTGCTTACTTCACTAAGTGAATCCGGAATAATTTCTGATGAAGCATCTGCGGTAGGCTCTTGGGCACTAATATCTTCAGATACATCGCGACCAGGATAGAACTCTTTAGCAACTTCTGTTTTGAGTTGATCCAGCCTTTCCGTCGCAATCTTGCAGGTACGTAGAATCTGACGTTTCTGGTCCATGAATCTTTGTTCTGTCATTCTTTCACGGAGTTCCGGATATTTCAGAACAAATAGTCGATACATCTCGGCCCTATGTCCTATCAGATGTTCTTCTAATCTGGTTGCTTTATAGTAACAGCACATGACATCTTCATTCATTTGTACATTCCACGTCAAACGCTGTCGAGGGAGACCCGCCTTAGTGGTCATGGGTTGTGAGCCACTAGAAACACTTAAGGTGGGGGGATGACTGAGAGGGGTTGAATGATTGTTTGGAGGGGGAGGGTAGTCAAGGATGTCAGCAGTAGTATTTTGATTGACTGCAGCCTGTTGATGTAACTGACGGCCACTGACGGTTTGCATGCTGCTACGTCCAGCACCAGCACCAGACGTGCCTCGGCGAACCCCGGGTAGCGGCTTTAATGGTTTTATTTCCGTGATCCATTCTCCATATAGGGTTAGGCTAATACAACGGGGAACGCCCAATGCCCCGAGGACACCGTTGGTCTACAAAGCTTAATTTTTTAGTACCTAAGCTTAACTGCCACCGAACACGGTACAACATTCTTCAGCGGAGGGTACAGACTGATTGCAGCAGTGAAAATCAATAATACTTTAAAGAATAAAGAAGATTGACCTTCACTACTGGGCGATGGGGTCGTCACATCCCAACGCCTTTTATTTCTTTTATTATTATTATAGGGGTATCTGTATAGTTTTCTCATCTGGTTGGTTTCTATAAATATATAATTATAAATTAAAATGAAAAGATAAATATACATAAATATCAATAAAATAAATACAAAAAATACACAAATAAATAAAGATCCAACCAGATGGAAGCCCTCGGCAGAGGAGACCAAACGGCCGAGGGTTAGGAGGAAAGGGAAAGAAACCGACGGACGATGCGGGCGGTATCGAGGATCACTGCCTTCTGCATTTGAGCCTGGAACGGTCCGTCACGGAGTCCCAGTCGTCTCAGATGACCCGAGAGGCTTACTGGGATTAGCCCATTCGCAGAGACGACTACAGGAATAATTTCGGTCGGCCGATCACCCCACATGTTGGTCACCTCGTGAGCCAGGTCCAGATATTTTGTTCGCTTATCTGTTTCGGCTTTCACGAGGTTCTCGTCATACGGAATGGTAATGTCGACCAAAAATATCCTTGACTGTGCCCGGTCCATCAGCACAATATCAGGCTTATTATTATTATTATTATTATATGGAAATGTTTGCGGTTATATCGAACTCTGACTACACAGTGTAATTCATACCTAATTTCATTTATCAGGCTTATTCGCAAGAATAGTCCTGTCTGTGATGATGGCCCGGTCCCAGTAGAGCCTGGTGCGATCATTTTCGAGCACGTCTTCCGGCAAGTACTTGTAATGAGGCAGTTTCCGGTCCACGAGACCGTATTTCAGAGCGAGCTCCTGGTGTAGGAGTATATTATTATTATTATTATTTGGGGTATCTATATAGTTTTCTCATCTGGTTGGGTAATATAAATATATAATTATAAATTAAAATGAAACGATAAATATACATAAATATCGATAAAATAAAATAAATGCAAAAATACATAAATAAATAAAAGCCTAACCAGATGGAAGCCCTCGGCAGGGAAGACCAAACGGCCGAGGGTTACGAGGAAAGGGAAAGAAACCGGCGGACGATGCGGGCGGTATCGAGAAGCACCGCCTTTTGCATTTGAGCCCGGAGCGGTCCGTCACGGAGTCCCAGTCGCCTCAGATGACCCGAGAGGCTGACTGGGATTAGCCCATTCGCAGAGACGACTGCAGGAATAATTTCGGCCGGCAGACCACCCCACATATCGGTCACCTCGTGAGCCAGGTCCAGATATTTTGTTCGTTTATCTGTTTCGGCTTGCATGAGGTTCTCGTCATACGGAATGGTAATGTCGACCAAAAAAAATCCTTGACTGTGCCCGGTCCATCAGCACAATATCAGGCTTATTATTATTATTATTATTATATGGAAATGTTTGCGGTTATATCGAACTCTGACTACACAGTGTAATTCATACCTAATTTTAAATATTACTGTAACAGCTATTAAGTTTATGTAATAAAACATTAATTTATTTTAACACTGAAAAAAACAATTTTGATATCTTATTAGGTTATATAAACTTTTTTTCATTGCAACAAAACATGATAAATTGGTTGATGATAAATCATTGTAAAATTAAAGACGTAAGTAAATATTCATATTAATTCATTCATGTTTTGCAGGACACAGTAATTAAAATAATATTAAATTATAACTGAATAAAAGTGCATATAAAATCAACTGCTAGATAAATGATTAAAATGTAACTTAATTTATGGTTATTGCATAATGCTTATTTTTTCAGTAATACAAATATAAAAATAGAAATTAAATCGTAAATTATTTGATAAATAAATTTCAAATTAATCATAAGTTAAATTCCTAACATTTAATGTAAAAATCATATTTTATTTTCCTCATTCTATGTTTGTTGTCTTCGGAGTACAATATATTCTTCTTCTTCTATTCTTTTAAATTTTTCATTCAATTTCTATAAAATTTTATTATTAATCTTCCCGTATTTGTCATCCTTTCCTTTTTTTTTTTTGAAATCTTCAACTTTTCTAACCGCATCCGGTGTTGTGTCTTTGCTATTTAATTACCATTGGTTATTTTTAACGGGAATTTTTAAGTGAAATTAATTTTCAGGCCGCGGCGGTACGCGTGCGTTGTCGCAGCGCGCCGCCTGTCGCGGTCGCCATATAATGTAGGAAAAGTTTTAATAAGACGAGACGTGTTGTTTTCACTAAAACTTTAATTATACTGCCCTTATTCTACAGTTAACACAAATATAATATACGAGTACTCAGAAACACAAGCCCTCGTGAACCCAGCGGCGGATCTGGTCTATGGCCCCACTGCTAACCAAGAGCTGCGGTAGGGAGAGCAGCGCCTTGCAATAGCGGCATACTTCTCCCCCCGCAGCCCCACCACCACCGCACCAATTAACAGTTTGGCCCCGTTAGAGTCGAACAGAATAGGGTGAATGGCGCATCGCCATGCCAACACACCTCTTCCTCCGCGACTCCACCTCGACTACAGCGGTAGGGGAAGAGGGCACCCCTAGGCTCGCAAAGCCCACTCGAAGTGGCTACCTCAGGCAAGCCCTACACGTCGGGTCAGCCATGTGGTTTCCTCATAGTTCACCGCGAGTGACCAAGCCATAGAAATTAGCCCCCCCCCCCTCCATGCCATTGTGGGAGCCCATTCGGTGGGGGAAGGGTACTATGCAACACCTGCCTAAATGTGACTGAAATACTCCGCACTCGCACGACCGGACTTGCGCTTTGTTTCAGCTAAGAAACTGCCCCGGTGTAAAGTATTGCTGCACTACTGCAAGGACAGACTTTTCTTGCGGCTGCTTTGGCCCTGGACTCAATGAACCACCCATATTTGAGGATCGGATAAAATTCAAACCCTAAAAACTGAAGTTGGTCACTGTATTCCAAGGATACGTTCCGGAAAGTAAGAGCAAAGGTAAGTGGGCTCCACTTAGCGGTAAAAAGATACGCTTGTGTTTTGGAGGCGTTGAATCTCACGAAATTAACATCGCCCCATTCGGAGACTGCCTGAAGTTAGAGATTTGCACGCTCAACCATAGCTTCTCTTTCGGACTGGATTTTATTTCAACTAGCCTGAGAATTCAGATGCTACCTCTCCACAACTGTTCTGTCGTCTGGATACTACCCATAGATACCGGGATTAAGCAGATCATTAATATGCAGAAGGAAGATAGTTGCGGAGAGAACGGATTCTTGAAGAACTCCGGCGTTTGTCGTGAAAGGACTCGACGAGTAGCCGTAGATAACTACTTGAAGAGATCATTCACTCTGAACGTCTGTCGCCCCATGAATCAGATGAAGAGATAAGCCGTAAGTTGTAAGCTTTTCCAAAAAGCTAGCGACGCTGCCAAACGTCTTCGAGACATCAAGGGAAACAGCAAGTGCTTCCCCACTGTTCTCAAGGGCTTCGCCCCATATGTGAGTTGCATATTACGCTAGACGGTCCTCAGTTGATCAATTTTGGCAAAACCCGTACTGGCAGTCACTGAGAAGATCATTAAGCTCTAGGTATGCCATAAGGTGGGCGTTCAATATACGCTCCATAATCTTAAAGAGTATATAGGTAATTGATATTGGCCGATAGTTGGCAGGGTCGGCACTGCTGTCTTTTTTGGGCATAGGCTGTACATTGGCTAGCTTCCAAGAATTGGTAAACATTCCAGTCCTGAATGAGAGGCGAAACAAGCGCATCAACATAGAATTCAACTCAAGTACACAGATCTTTAGAAATATAGCTGGTATACCATACAACAACATACAAGCTGTCAACCATACTTTAAACACTAAAAAATTTTGACATTGCCTTCAATGTATATCTACGAAATAAATCTATTTGTGAAATCAAATCCAAATTTTTACAAGACTGCTTTTAAAAGCTACTATAGACAGTTACGCGACAAAAAAAGATTATAGACATAGAAATACCGTATGGAGATACAGCACTAAACTACTAAACTACTACTACACATACACTAAACATAAGCCTCTTCAAAAGATTGCCTAATAGGGGAGATTTGTCGTAGTTGTTACACTTGGCAGATGGGTTAGCAACCTTAGCCCTTTATTATTCTGAATTGTTTTCGGGAAGATGCTACTGCCCTACTTTTGTTTCAGTTACCATTTGCCTCTTACAAAACTCACAATTAGTTAGTGAGTCAACTAGCAGAGTGTGCCGTCTAACGGTTAGATTGGCCACTCACAAATGTCAGTATATTTTTTTACTTTCTATCATATATTAGCTTATGTTTATTTATTACCGCGACTCTATATGCAAAAATGTGCTATTACTGGAGAGATTGCCAAAAAATACATCTGAGTTTGTATGCGATGTATTTATACGTTGCTTTAGATATCGCAATGGGTGGCGAATCGCAAAATAAAATGCAATCTACAAAATGGCTGTTTACTTTGAATTAGTACCGGAAAACTTTAAAACGTGATATTATAAAAGAAAATAACAAAAACTGTAAAAGAAAATAACAAATCCAGCTCTACTGTTAAAACCATGCGCCAGGGGTCTAACTAGTAGTAAAACTGCGAAAGAGATTTGGAATAAAAAATTCCAAATCTCCTT